TTTTTTTTTTTTTTTTTTTTTTTTAGATTTTGATTACTGCTTACGCGCGCAGATTTTACCACACGCTTTTTTTCATAATACACAGAGTCGTAGAAAAAGTCTGAAAGCCTTCGTATACAATACATCGCATGCGCATTTAATCGCCGGATCAATCACCGCGATTTCTTACGACTCGGCAGCGCGAGTACAACAAAAAAAGCGGACGATAATTGATGGAGCGGAAAGTGTCTTGGTCGATTTGCGAGCGCGTCTCGAGTCGTATAATTAATTACCGGTCATCGAGATGGATATAACAGAAAAGGATAACAAAGATGGATAACGGAGAAGAGAAGTTCGAGGCGAAGTTCTTCGGTTATCTCATTCGGCGCGTCTGTTCGGTCGCGAATTTTTGACCGATCCCAAGGCGATCCGGTAATCGTTCGACGTAATGACACGTCGTAAGAAGCTGACTACGGCGACCGGCGTACACGACTCCCGGCCCCCGGTCGCTTTAAATAGTCACGCGATAATTAGATGTGTGTGTCGACGCTGCTCGTCGTTCCGTTACAAGTATAATACGTCACGCTGTGTCGTATTAACCTCAGAAGATTCTTTTCTCTCGGACGAGAGACTGTCGAAAGAGAAGACCATTTTTTAACCGCAATGGATGGACCACTGGAGGAGAAAGAAAAACATTTGTGTCTAGAACAGCTGTTAAAACGGAACTATCCGGCAATCATTTTGTATGAAAGCAGAGGAAAGATGTCATTTAATGTCGAGAATTTACCGTCACACAAATATGGAACCGCGTTGCCGATTAGAATTTTCTACATTTTTTTGCGGTTTCATGTAATGTAGTTCTCCGGTTAGCTTTCCGGTTAACTCGATTCGTGCAGTTAACTCGAACTTTTTATTAACTCGTTGAAAAGAAACGGCCCGTTGAGGTCTCAGCATGCGGCAAAAACTCGATCCTCTCTAAACGATCCTCGAACTTAATCTTCGTGCGCGCGCGCAATGCATTTTCCATTAACGGAAAAACAGGACGGTGAAAATTATCTCGGAAACTCTTTTCGAGAGTGAAACTAAATAAGCCGTCGGTGGTTTAATTGACGGACATTACGTGACGTCGCTGTACAGTACGACCTCAGTTTGCGATGTTGAGTCGTAGCGAGGCAATCGTTGTCAAGCGGAACATCGACGTCGTGAATTGCACGAAACGATCGATCGATCTTAATCGCGCCATCGATAAATCGTGCGGTTTATCTGTATGCAATTAATCGCAACGCGTTTAAAATACGCAGTATGTGTCTTGCCCGCACGATGGAAAATGTTCAAGGCCGTTCGCGCGTGCGCGCACGTTGTCGGTCGAATGCGGTATAACGGCGCGAGCATGCAAATGTCAAGGAAATGGACGAAGACGAAGCGCCTAGCACGCACACACATATGTACACCCACGAACTTTCTCTCTTTCTTTTCGCTTGTATCGACAGTTGATTCTCTCTTCTTTCTCTTCCGTCTCGCTGTCCGTTTCGCTCTTTTTTTCAATGTCCCGCCATTAGTCAAGCTTTTTCATCGACCCTCCGGTTCAAGTGCATGTTATACTCGAGATATACCGTCGCGCTTCGCGTCCCAATTAGAAGCCCCCGATAATCGGTTCCGCTATACCTCGCGACCCCACCTATATACATAGTTGGCATTCGCACACACAAAGAGATGCGTAAAAAAAATAAAACTTTGCCATCTTTTTTTTTTACAGAATCGGAGATCGCGCATCACGACCAAGATGAAGCGATGGATTGTGTACACGGTGACGCTGCACATCGTCGCTGCCATCGCTCGGGCTACCGAAGATTTTCGGCACATCTCGTACGAGGGTAAGAACTTATGAAAGCAATAATAATTTTTTCGAAAGAGAAATACTTGTCGAAGATGTGACATTCTCTAAAAGAACGAACGTTGTCGGAGTAATAAATCGGAAAATCCGATTTATTACTCTGTATATATATATATATATATTCGTTATCTATAAATTATATTAAAAATTGTCTATAATTACATTTCTGAACGTTCTCACGAACGCGAACCGGTTGATTAAACTCTCCCGCGTATAAAATACATGTAGGAAAATCCGATAATTGATCAACCCGACCGCGATTGATGGCGAGAACTTATCGCGATCTCGCGATTATGTGCATAATTTGCAAAAATCGCTCGATTGAATCTCGGAACGGCGATAACGTCGGCGATAATCTCGCGAGTCCCGTTAATTGCTTTATCGCGCTTTACTTGAGGGAGTAGCCGGCGAGCCGATTACGCGCTTACTTCCGATCATTTTTATCGATATGTAAGAGAGACCGTTCGCGCGTGCGCGATTCCGTTCGAGTGTGTCTCTCCAGAGCTGCGCAAACTCTCGCAAACAGGACCGACGAGTTTTCTACATACTCCGCGCGATTATCTCGCGCAAAAACGGGAGTTCACTCCCACGGAACGGCGCGACAGAAATACACTTCATTCATCACCGGTGCAGTATTATTGCGCCAGGTGCGTTATCGGCGCCGTTAAAAACGGCGCGCGCCATTCTCGGTCGGCGACGGACCTTATGCGAAAGTCGTTCGTGCGATCTCCCACGTAGCTCGAATCGACGACAGACTTTGCGCGAAAGATACCAATCTCTCCCCAACTGACGATATTACTCGGGTGATGTGTAACGTTTCGTGTTATCGCTTCGATATAATAAACGCTCTTTGATAAGTTTGATAAATGTATCGCTTCTTCCGTGTTTTGTTTTTTTTTTTAAATAATAGAGTAGATTATTAATCATCGTTTGTTCTAAGTACGAAAAAAAACTTTTCTTAAATAAATAATACAGTAGATTATTAATCACCGATTGTTTGTTGTGAATACAAAACTTTCCTCATTAAATTATCGTTGCGATTGGATTTCATGTTCAAGCGAAGTTTTCTCGGGAAGTTGTGTGCGATCGAAGTTTCCTCGCGCGCACACAATTTTTCCACAGTCTAATTCAGTATAGGGGAACAATTTCCGGCGATAAATAACTTTGAAGTAATTACTCTGTCCACTTAAGCTCTGAGATATTGAATTCGCTAAGAAATGATTGTACATTATAACGGGAAAGTGTGAAAGATGGGTGTTCTCTGTATTATCGATAATGACAGATCGACAGAACCGAGAGAGGCGATCGAATCTTCAGGCAAAATCGCGCTTAATCATCAGAAGAAGTAGGTGAATATATTCTTCCCGCGAAAGAGAGAAAGAAAGAGAGAGAGAGAAAGAGAGACAGAGAGAAAGAAAGAAAGGTATATCGCCCTCTGGTCGCCACGATTTCTGTCCCGGAAGACGAGCATAAATCCGTAGCGAGCCGAGTCCGGCGTTCTCGAGACCGGAGACGTTTATGCAAATTTAATTTCGCCCATAACCGCTTCTCTACGACGTCGACGTGTGTCGGAGATAGGCATGGCTAATCGATAAAGAAAGCACATATCATATGGCGTGTGTGTCGCGCGAGTTATACCGCGTACACACATATATGAATCTAAACCGCGTGGTGTTCGATCGAAACCGGCGAGTCCGGCCCATTAACAACTCCGCAAAAATGTCGGACATTCAGGGCACTTATCACAAGCAATGACCCACAATGCGCAGTTACACGTAGGCGAGAGAGCTCGACGCGCGGAGCTCGATTATCGCGCGCGGAGAGAAAACGCAGATCATGTCAGAGATGTGGGACGGACGGTTGCCGGTCGTCTATATGGAGACCAGACGCCACACCCGTCAAACGGAAACCGACATGGAAAATCTCTCGTGACCCGGGCATCCGGATCGAAATTCTTAATGAGCTCAATGGATTACTCTGTGGCGTGAGCGCGGTAGCTCTCATCTTCTTTCCTTCCTGCGACTCTCTTCATCGCGTTTCCTCTTTTCTGTTTCCCCGTTTCTTAATAAAACATACACGGAAACGAAGGACGATGATCGCGGCCGCGCAAAACCCGTGATTTTATTTGCACGTAAAGTACAGTGTACCCGCGAGTCGATTTATCAGTTTTAAGCGCTCGCGGTCGCTCTCTCTCTCTCTCTCTCTCTCTCCCTCGAGTCGTGCGGTCTGTATTAAGCCGGATCACGATTTCGTTACGGATTCCCGCGTCTCTCGTGGCCGCTGTCACGTTTCGTGCTGCGCGTGAATCGAACGCGGAATGCGGAAAATGACTCTTCACGATTAAAACTCGGAGCGCTGTATTTTTCTCGGTCGTGACTTTTTTTTCATTCGAGCAACAGAATAATAGTCGTAGCAGCTGGATAACAATCGTCTGTTGCGGATAAATATCGGCTCTGTAAATTGGACAAAACAGAGATGTCATATTGGAACTCTTTTACCACTGATTAAAAAAATCAAAAATCAAAAGAGATGATCCGTAAAGAAAGATAGTTGCGCACAATCAACATTATTAAGTCCTCTCTTTCCCCCCCGGAAAAAAAGGAAATAAGATTATTTATCGTCGTGTTTAATTCCCGACACGTAAAACCGCATGTGCGATAGCTCCGGTATGTCATTACGATAATTCGTGATTCCGCGGCAAATTATTCCGCTTGTTAGAGGAAGACAACAGTCAACCGACAAAGCAACAAAAGCAGCACTCGCTGATAAGAAATATTACATATATACGTACACAACGTACCCAAGAGATATTTCTCTTTCCGTGAATTCGCGATTGCTCTCTACGCATTTAAGAAAAAACTTCCCGGGATACAATCAAATCTCACGCGGCGATAGCACAACGCGTGCTAGTGATAATTTTTTTTTGTTTTGTTTTATCTGCGAAAGCGCGCACTTGTTACACATTAATATCGTTACGTTAAATGAAAGAGATTAGAAAGTCTACTTGTCAAAACAGACGGAATTATTTATTTGAATTTGAACGTTCGAAGTTATGCGCGCGTTCTTCGCGGTGCGCGACAAAAAAGCGGGAAACACGTCTCCGAGAGAAAATGTCCCGGGGGAACAATTGTTCAGTTATTAAATGCGTAATGAGAGAAACGTTTATATAGACAATATTAACTCATTATTTACCACCGCGCGACGAAGAAACGCACGAACGCAATCAATTCGACGTTGTGAAATTCAATTGACTGTGACTCATGCACTCTTCAAAACAAACGCCTCGATTGTCGAGAGAGACTTTTAAAAGTCTCTCTTCTGTGGAGTCTGTATACGATAAATTCTCCCACTCGCGCTGCGATCAGCGCGCGAATAATAGCGACACGGGATCTCTGTGTGTGTGTGTTTCTCTCTTTCTCTCTCCTTCGCGAACACGACGATGAATTTTTCGTCACTGTGTGGGAATATAATTGCCTACACTGTACCTGCGTAGAAAGGTACGAACGGTTATTTATAACGGTATCGAGTTGCTAATGTGCGGCGAACATCAACGGCCGGACCTCGATAATAAGATCTTGGAGTTTGCGTCTTACGCAAGAATACTTAAATGAAAAGAGGGGAAAAAAAAATTAAAAGGTAGGAAAAAAAATTAGGTAGAGGTGTTTCGTCTACCGAGAGATCTCGCGCGAATGTATGTTGGGGTCAGAAGAAACTGACACCAAATGTATGTATACGTATATATATATATGTATGTGTGTATAGATGTGTGTATGTACACAATAAACCTTTATATGATGTGTATTTCTATAACGGTATTGTTTGCCACACATTGGTGCAAAATCATTGCGACTAAATGTCTGAATATGACGCGGGTCTCTTTCGCGCGGAGGACGTCGGGCTTGTGTGCGTTGCTGCGTTACACGTCGAATCTAATTAAATTCCGAATGCAAGGGTGCAGCCACAGACCTCGCTCGCGCACAGGACGGGTCTCGTTAAGTGGCTCTATTGCACTTTGTCGAAAATGACAAAGCGATTCTTCTCTAATTATCCCGGTATATATAAGGCTCGTCGAGGGGTGCATTGTACGCCGCGGATGGGTTCGCTTTCGTTCCGCTCCTTTCGAAGGCCGACGCGGTCGATTGTTCGTTCGCGGCTCGTTCGTTCATTCGTTCGCTCGATCGAAGTCGATATTCCGCGGGGAAAAACGGTTCTCAGCCGAGCGTGAAGAAGTCCCCCTCCTCCCTACCCGAAGTATATTTATCGGGCGCAAACGTCTCGATTACGGAAAGCGATCCGTTTTAAGTATCGCCGCGATTGCGCAATCGTCGCGCGACGTTTCGTAACTGCGCGTCTGTCCGCGCGAAAGCGTAAGGTGAATTGTCGATTTTATGCGAGAGATCGAGGGCGGCGCTTTTATGACGCTACGGTATCGTAATCCGCGCGATATCGGCTTTGCGTTATTCTGAGATAATATGCGAAATTTAGCAATATATCTTGTTCGAATAATAAAATTCGAGCCGGGAGATAAGAGAGAGAGAGAGAGAGAGAGAGAGAGAGAGAGAGAGAGAGTAAGTCAGTCTATAAAAGTGGAGAGAGGCATGTGTCTTAATCGCGAACTTGTTCTCAACGATGTAGAGAGGGAGAATATAAAATGACGATTAATATACATTGATCGTAGGAAGACAATAAAACGGCAAAGAGAAAAGATTAGTTCAATTCGTGGAAAATCCGATCGAGCGCTAAACGTCCGAATGAATGTGAAATCAGACGTTGATGGGAAAACGGGTATCGCATACGCCTTATTCGCCGAGATAATCGGTCGAAATTAAGCAATCTCCAAACGTAATTTTCATAAAACTCGCGCGCACGTGGAATTAAAGTCCGCGATGGAGATTTTTATGAATCAGTAAAACGATGCGTGTCCCCCCCTCCCTCCTTCCCCCCGTAATTCTCGCGCGAATCTCGAGAAAGATCTGTTTC